ATATATATATATATGGAAAATTTACATACATACCACTCAATTCCTATGTATTTACACATCTAACACATAAAACTTCAATTTTTACACGCATGCCACCTTACTTATGCATGAAAAGATATATTTCACTTTTTTAAATGTTAAAATAGTGATATTCAGAAGTGATATGAAACATTCAGGTCGTATAAATGTAAAAAAAATAACATTTTGGTATCAGATATGTAAATACATATGAATTAGGTGGTATGTATGTAAATTTCCCTATATTTATTTTTGAAAAGCGAAGACCTACCAAAATCATTTCTGTATATTATAAAGTGCATAACATATCCGCAAAATCAAACAGATTATCACAATCCTCACTCAAAAATTCGTATTACAGACAACAGAGCACAACATTCCCACACACCAGATATTAATGTGCAGCATGGAAGACCAGAGATTAACATTGCCAGCAAAACATACTGAATTATTTAAAGGAAATGAGCTTCTAGGCGCCACTAATCTTAATGGCTAACCAGTTTGAGAGCGTTGGCTTTCTCTTGCAGGCTCGCAAGCAGGCTGTCGAAGCTCTTCTTGAAGGAGTCGACGCCCTCGAGCTCGAGCTGAGCCCCAACCTCATTCCAGTCGATTCCGAGCTTTTCGAGAGCACTATAGACGCCTTCGGCCTCAGAACTGTTGGCATCGATTGTCCTTGAGACGGTTCCATGGTCTAGGAAGGCTTGCAATGCCTGATCCGGCATCGTCGACACCTGAAACCAGACAGGATTGAGGGAAAAAAAAAGGAAAATTTGCATGCATACGACTCAATTTCTATGTATTTACATATTTGATACGTAAACTTCAATCATTTATGCCACCTTACTTGTACATGAAAAAATGTATTTCACTTTTTAAAAGTTAAAATGACGGTATTTTTTATATAATATGAAGAATTTGGGTGCTATAAATGTAAATAAGTAAAATTTAGGTATTAGATATGTGAACACATAAATATTGAGTGGTATGTATGTATCATAAGCCGACTTATTTATTATGAAAGATAAAGCAATATTAATTCAAGCTAATATCATAATAAAATGATATATAGAACGAACAATTATGAGATAAATAACCATTTTAACCATTTATAAAATAAGCCAAATTTTAATATATTTTGAGTGAAATTTATATTAATATTTTCTTAAATGAGCTAGCTCACAAGCTAACGAGTCGAGTCGGAGCTTGTTAGAGCTTGGCTTGTTAGAACATCGAGCTCAACTCGCGAGCCACTTATTAAGCTGAGCTTGAGCCGGCTTGACTCAGTTCCACCCCTATCTGTGTTACAACAAAAAAGAGTAGCTCAAATACTCACAGTATCAGGACCGATTAAAGGATCGACGTAAAGTGTGTCAGGATACGCAGGGTTCTTGACACTAGTCGACGCCCATAACAGCCTCTGCTTCTTCGCTCCTTTCTTAACTAAGGCATCCCAACGAGGTCCCGAAAATTTCTGCTGATAGAGCTTGTAAGCCAGGGTTGCTTGAGCTACAGCCGCCTGCATAACATTATTGCATGAATGCATGAAATCTTGTTGGGAAATTTACATACATTGCACACAATTTTTATGTATTTGCATATCTCACACCCAAACATCCATATCAACATAACATTTCAGTGCTTTAAACCTATGCATGAAAAAGTGTATTTCAATTTTAAAAAGCGTCAATTGTGCGCTTTTTTACGTGATATTAAATATTTGAGTTTTGTGTGTAAATATGAAAATTAAGGTGTGAGATACATAAATGCATAAGAATTGTGTCATATGTATGCAAATGCCCCAATCTTAAAAAACTTATAATATGAGTGGAATGAATATCAATCTTTTACCTTTCCACATAGATTAAGAGCTTCAGGTGTCCCGATCTTTTCGAGTAGTTTATCGATGAGTGTATCGACGCGACTGACGAAGAAGGATGCTACACTGGTTACCCTCGATAAATCACTAAGCCCTGAAGCCTCGAGACCATCTAAGTAAGCGTCAATAACCGCCTCATATCTAGCAAGTGAAAATATCAGCTGTGAGGACAAACAAAGAACTTCATCAGATCTTCAATCTTCAGAACACTACAAGGTGGCACCCTAAATACTAGGAAAGTATTCTTAAATGTGATATGAAGATTTGAGTGTTATATAAGGAAATATTAAATTTTAAATGTTAAATATGTAAATACATAAGAATTATGTGATATGTCTGTAAATCCACCAGTATAAAATTACCAAGGAAAAAGAGAACAAATTCAGATCAAACTTGGCTATGGTAATACACATCTAAAAATTGATAATAGATGGATGAAATGCTTCATCAAAACAAAACCTGCATAGAATTATCTACAGAGCTTAAAATCTTCACAATACACCAAAAAAAGCTAAGAAAATGTCATTCTACCAGATCTACACAAAGTTTTGACAGAACAAGTAAAGATTTTCATGTTAAGAATTACAAATGTAAATTCTCTTAAGAATTTGTTCCAAGGAGTGAACTAAAAGAAATTATAAAAAAAAGGGAATTTTGATATTTACTTTTATAACACTTTGGCGTTATAAACTTATGCATGAAAAGGTGTACTTAAGTTAAAATAGAGGTATTTTTTTAATATTATGTTAAAGATTTGAGTGGAATGCATCTAAATATGAAATTTTAAGTGTTAGATATGTAAATATATAAGGATTGTCTGGTATGTACGTAAATGGCCCTAAAAAAGCCAATTAGCAAGCATCATTTAGCATGGAAACTGAAATGCCAAATTTAAAAATGTAAAGGCAAATTATTGCAAGCGTACCGTCACATTGACGCTTGTACCGTTGGAAATAACTTCCTTGATAGATGGAACGCAATCTGCCGTAGCCGGAATCTTTATATAAACATTGGGACGACTAACCACTTTGTGCAACCATTTCGCAGCTTCAATGGTACCATCTGTATCATTTGCAAGTCTAGGAGAGACTTCAACTGAGACATAACCATCACCTCCATCAGTTTGCTCATAAATAGATTCAAACAGTTTGCACGCATCTTGAATATCCTTGATGACAAGCTCCCAATAAGCACTTTCGATATCTTTTCCTGATGTAATGAGTTGCCTGAATGTTCAAAAAATGTAAATTTAAAGGTTGTGCCAAAAAAATAAAAAAAATATTCAAAAAATACCCCAAAAACCAAGTTTTTACAATTTACAAATATTTTGCAACCATTATTGCCCTCTCTTCATTAATGGCAACCATTCTGAAGCTTTCAAGTAATATCATTCATTTTTCACATAAATATATAGCACATCAGCAAAAACAATGTAACAAGAACTACACTACGAATGCACGGCAAGAAGTCCGAGAATGACTCCGAAATTGTTCCAACTCAGCTGAATAGAGTAGTTTGATTAAATGAGCAGGGCTTTAGCCACTAATAAATAAAAAACTTTGAAGTTATTTTGTTTCTACTTGCATTGTTTTTCAAAAGTACAATGATTTACAAACATTCCTCACAATTCTCATGCATTTACATAATTAAAATCTAGATTTTAATTTTTACTTATGTAACACCCAAATCTTCAAATCAGATAAAAAATGCCACTCAAATGAACTTTTATAAAATAAAATACAGCATTTCTTGACTATTTTTGCCGTTGAAGCTTGGGCTGTCAAAAAATCTCATTGTTCTCGAACTGCTCGTGTTAGAATCGTTCGTTAAGTAAATGAGCCAAACACGAACAATTTTTTTAAGCTCAAATTATAATTAAGTGGAACACAAACAACCCTTTGTTAGATGATGTTTGATTCGTTTTAGTTTGAAATAAGAAAATTATATACATTATTTATATAATAATATATTATATATTTTATATTTAAGCTTAAATCACAATAGCTTGTGTGGGAATGTATTTCTATGCCTTGTATTGTATAGAAATGATCAAGTTCGAATAGAACAACATACATCTAGTTTACTAATTAATTTAACCAAATCAATTTCGAGCCAAACCCGAAACAATATTATTTAAATCAAGTTGAACATGAATACACTATTCACAAGCAATTTTGAACATGAGTTAATTTCAAATAGAAATAATTTCGAATTAGCAGAACACGAGTCAAGCTTGACCTCACCCAAGTTCGGCTCGTTTACAGTCCTAATTGAAACAATAGAAGTGTTGTATAAGAAAATATCAAAGTTTACATTTTAGATATATAAATACATAAGAGATAATTTTCGTGATAGAGTTGGTGTAGCTCCAATGGTGGATAAAAATAGAGAGAGTCGTCATAGATGGTTTGGTCATATTAAACGTCGACCATCTAATGATCCGGTTAGGAGAGTAGATATTTTAGATTTGACTTATGTTAAGAAAGGCAGAGGTAGACCTACAAAAACTTGGGCATATTGTATAAAAAATGATCTTAATTTATTAGAATTAAATGAAAATATGACACTCAATAGGACACAATGGAGAAAAAGAATTCATGTAGCCGACCGCACTTAGTGAGACAATGTTGTTGTTGTTGTAAATACATAAAAGTTTATATATGTAAGCAAATCTCCTCTACAATTAATATTATTCATTTTCATATTCAGGATTTGTTACAAAATCAAGGCACTTTTGGTACTCAAGTATTTATTTTAAGAGATAAATGGAAAGCCTTTTCATGTTCTTGGGAAGTATCATTGCCATATCTTCCATTAAATCTCCCAAACAAATCAAATATGATCTTTCTCGACATAAAAAATCTGAGCTTGTAAGATGTACCAGCCATACTTAATGGTATTTGGTTAAGCTATAAATGTTGCCTACTTTTAGCCTTCTAATTGTATTAACAGTTCCATTAGGGTACTCCTTTAACTTATTATTTGTGTAGAACTATTTATTCATTGCAAAAAAATAGCAAATGAAAAAAATGTTCATCTTGTGGCTGCATTGGAGATGCTGGAATGATAAGATATGGCAATCGAGATGAAAGCTAGTTGTTTTGTTTCCTCTGTTCAATAACATTTATTTACTATGTTCCATTATTGCTCACTTTTTAAAATGCATTAGCTCATCTAACTCTATTTTATTCAATAATTGTATGTGGTGGTTTAGGCATAGAAATCACAAAAAAGGTTAAGTAGAGTATTATTATAAAATGATTGAAATTAGTTAGACAGGTAATGCGACTAAAAGCTAATAAAAAAATATTTGCATAAAATAGTTTTAGCATCATGGAGTAAACAACAATATTAAGAGATGCGAGGAATTCATAGCACTAACCTGAAATAGTTAGAATAAGATGGATAATAATAATGATCATATGAACGATGATTACAACACTTCAGTTTTCTAATTCTATCCAGCTTTAATGTTCTTCCTCAAGCATCTCAACAAAAAAAAAATCATAAAGCAAGAGAGAAAATGTTTAGCGAACCGGTAGTACTTTGCTTAGTAATTAGGAATGTAGACTATTTGAAATCAGTAATATTCTATGAATAGGGCTGTCAAAAAAGCACGCCGTTCACGAACAGCTCGTGCTCGGTTCGGTAAGTAGTTTGTGTTCAATTCGTTTGTTAAACAAGCGAACCGAACACAAAAAGTTTTTTCAGTTCGAATTATAAACAAGCCAAACATGAACAAGAAGTTGTTCGATCGTGTTTAGTTTGAAATAAATAAATAATTAAAACATAATATAATTATAATTTTTTATATGATAGTTTTGTGATATATTAAAAAAGAAATTTTAAATTTTAAAGTTTATTAAATTATTATTAAAAAAAATTTCTAAACTATCTGAAATTGATCTCAACCTTGGATCAATATAAAATCCTAAATTATATTCCTATTAAACCACTCACTGTTTAAGCCTAAAATAAACATATCCTAACATTCTTGATTCTCATTGTCAACCGCCCTTTTCCTTTCGTTTTTGTGGTCCTCACCCGAGGTCGAGAGGCGAGGGTGAGTGTGCAACTGTGCGGGACCGTGAGACATCGAGATCTACTTTCTTTCCTTTCCATCCCGAGAGATCTACTTTCATTTTGTTGTTGTCCCGAGGGAATGAAAGTCTTGCAGCTTTCTAGGGTTCTCACTTTCTCTGGTTGCCTTCCTCTTGATGGCTAGTCATTTAGAGATTAGGCTATTTTCATTGATGCTTTGTTTTTTTTATTTTAAGTGATGTTTTCTTTTTTATGGTTCTTCACTTTCTTCAGTTGTTGATGGCTTCTAAGTTCTAACGATTTTATATTTGGATTTTTTTTTTTTTCTTTGCATTCCTTAAACGTGTCACTTCTTAATTCGTTCCACCTTCCTTCAAGTTCCAACGATTGAATGGTTTTATGTTATGCAAATTTTTTTATATATTATATTGTATGCAAATATAACATATAAAAATAAAAAATAAATGCATCAGGGATACTTTACAGTTTGCAAGCTTCTGATTCTCATGCTTCAGTTTCTGCTCGCATTCTATGGTTTTTTACAAATGAAATCCCACACTCTAATTTTTCTCATTTTTCTAAACCTTTTCGTATTTTTTCACTTACATAAACACCATATTTTCGAGATTGTAGTTGTATTTTTGATTATATACATTTCATTATAAAGATACGACACTTCATTGTTCTGCAAATGCAGAAATGTTGCAATTATCTACATGCAGTTCGCCAAAAAACAATAGTGATCTCAATGGTTAAGTTTTATTACTTGATTTGCATTTAGAAATTCGACATATCACTAGTTTGATTGATGGAAGAAATATGTGTGGAAAATCGTTATATTATGCAGGCAAAACCTCCCATTTTAGAAGCTTGTCAGTCTACATAAGAATGATGGCAGCTTGATGGGAAAAATACATTACAGGAAATAATACATATAAACTAGGCAATTTCAGATTGAAGATGTCATTATTCATTAGCAAGTTGTTTTATTAAACTAACAAAAAATATCTGGCTATTTGTTTAATTATACTTCTGCTTCGTATAGAAGATTATAATATCTGGTAAATATTTGGCATTGATCTATAACTGGTATGACACAATCTTGTGCAATCATATAGAAGATTATGATTATTAAAGACTGTGATGGTATCTAAGTTAATCATCTATGCTAAAGTTAGTATGAATTAATTATATGATGCAACCCTTTATATGAATTAGATACATTTAAAGTTGCTATGGCATAATAAAATTAAGCAATCGTTTAGGCCCCATTAGATGAATACAAAAATTCTAAAATTAGAATGGCAATTTCATTAAGCAACCACCCTTTAGATTAATGTTGAAAAATCTAAAGAATAATGACATAATCACATTATAGAACTTTTTAGATTGTAGTCGAAATTAACATTTAATCTTAATTCCGAGCCTCAATATTATGATAATTCATATGTGATTGATTTTTTTCCATGTTGAGATTTATTGTTTAATCTCATGAAAATGTTGCATAATATTTCATCTCATTATGTTAGAGTTTGTGTTATCATGTCTTTATTTATTTACCATTTCATATAATAGAAATATTTGTATGAAAATTTTGTTTGTGCTTTCAACTGCTTGTGAATACTTGAAAAGTTGAATCATTATCTATTGAGAAGCCCTTACTTTTGAGGCTAACTGATACTTCACTAATTCCCTACTTGGTTGCTCCCTAGTAGATATTATTAGATCTTTTTTTATGGAAATTGGATGATTTGGAAAGCCTATTTTGGTTGTTGTCTATTGACTAATTGATACTTCAATGCACCCTGTTGGTTGTTGTCTGTTGGTTGTTGGTTATTGGTTGTTGGTTGTTGGTTGTTGGCTCGGGAATTGTTATTGGCTTCATTGCTATTTTTTGTTGTGATTTTATACCTTTGGTGTTGTTTTAGTTTTGTATTTGAGTCGTTCAGTTCTTTCTCTACTAATTCAGTAATTTGGCTATGGTCATCTTATCTCACATAATGTTTGATTCAACTAAAATGTGGTTATAAATGTTACATAAATTTACCACGCATGCATAAAAGATGTAAATTTTCTTTGCTCACATCATTCTTCATAAAAATTTTAACTTATAGTCATTGTAAGAAATATCAGAGAATCAAAATTTTTTTTTTCTTTGAGAGCATATTTATTTGCCTTGATAACATTGTCTACCTCATTCTACTGTTAAGTCTCCTTCTATAGAATAGATTCCTAAATTTCATAAACTTCTATAGTAATCAATGCTCCATGTTGATTGTTGTCAATTGAATGTTGGTTGTTGGTTGTTGGCTCAAGAATTATCATAAGGCTTCATTGTTGTTTTTTGTTATGGTTTTGAAACTTTGGTTCTGTTTTTTTGTTTTGTATTGGTGTTCTTTGATTTTTTCTCTACTAATTCAGAATTTGGCTATAGTCAAATTGGAGATTAGACTGGCTTTCTATTTCATTTTTCATTGCTTCTGTCCGTAGTTATTAGATTTTCTTATTTTTGTCAAATTTGTTGATTTGTTTAGGTATCTCTTGATCTTTCCGCAATTGTGAGGTATTTTTGGTTGAGCACTGATGTTTTTTAACATTTTCATTAAAATTCAATCATGCTTATACATGTTTGAAGCAAAATATTTATAGTATTTGGAAGGGTTTTTAGTGTCTTTCGTCAGGTAAGTTCTGAGGTTATTTTCATTTTAATTTTCTTGCTATTATTGTTTCTCTTTTTGTGCCTCTTTCATTGTTGACGTGTTTTAATTTTGCTTAAAACTTTCTTTTACCCAGCTCTATTTTTTTCTCAGAGTTATCAGGTAATTTTACATGCATACTACTCGATTCTTATATTATTGAGCCAAATCAACCACTTGAGGTGTGATCAATTTCATTTCTTAACGAGACAATCTGATTTATTTTAACAACTAAACCTTCATATTTGACACAATTCTTATGTATTTACAATTTCACATATCTAACACCAAGACTTTCATATCTGTTTTTTATTAAATTTTCAGATATATAAAACTATGAAAAAAAGAATTTGAAGAAATGGAGATTGGGATTTGGAAGATATAAATAAAATATTGAATGTATTTTTTATAAATATGTAATGTAATTGTAAATTTTTAATTTATTAGTTATTTGTTTTATAATAATAATTTGTTGAGATTGGAGCTTCAAATTTATATTAAATCTATTTCTATAATTTGTAATAATATAGTTGAAGAAATAATTTTTTTTCTAGAATGATGTAAGATTTTTTCGTGTAAATTTTTTAATAAATGATTGAATTTATTATTATTTTTATTTTTTTAGCTTATTTCAAACCAAGCACGAGCAATTTGAACAATTCAAACAAATCAAACAGTACGAATAATTTGAACAATTCGAATTAAATTCAAACAAATTGAATCAAACATGAACAAATATTTCACGAACAATTTTAAACACAAGCTTATTTCAAACATATACAATTTCAAATGAACCAAACACAAACAAGAGCTTTGTTCACTCATGTTCGGTTCATCTACACCCCTATCTATGAATAATAATTTTAATTGGAACAATTATAGTAAAAAGCCAAGTGGTTCGACAAAGAGGGTTCAAAAGTTCTATTTTTTATTGAGAATAGATTTAATATCAGGCCAAATGCATATAGCTATAAGAAAAACTTTGTTTCTAGTCTTGCATCCTACTTCAAAACCTATATGCTACTTCTAGTTCTTCATCCTAAGATTCACGCTTTCAGATAAGCCCATTAGAACAAAGCGAGCAATGTGAATGTCGGTTGTGCGCTGATTAGGATCTGTGCATCCTACTTCAAAAGCTCTATGCTACTTCTAGTTCTTCATCCTAAGATTCACGCTTTCAAATAAGACCATTAGAACAAAGCGAGCAATGTGAATGTGGGTTGTGCGCTGATTAGGATTTGTGCATATATAGTGATATGTACTATTAAATGAACTTTTTATGATCTCCTTCGTGATTTTTAATCATCCTTTACTTTCATATGCTCCTTTGAGGCAGATAATGATCTCATTTAGAATCATACTTTGTACAAAATGTTTGCTTCTTAAATCAACAAAAGTAGGGATGGTTCAATGCAACCTATTCAATAGAAAATATTAAAAACATGTAAATGCCAAGAACAAAATATGAAGTTTTAGTTAGAATATACTTTATGTTACATTACAAATTATTCTTGAATTTGAATAAATTGCATCTCCATGTCAAATGACTCGAAGGGTTACTGAACGTTAGAAAAATAACATGAAAGAGATACGTTGTTATCAAGTTATGCATGGTAGCAGCTTTAGTAAATTCTGTAAATCCAAATTTACTAAATCCTACCAAAAATAGGATTTATGGGATACGGGATTTAAAGCAAAACTGTGAAGAAATAAAAAAGATTCTAGATTTACTAAATCCAAGAATTAATAGTGATTTTTCTGTCTGGAGAGACTTAAAAGTTAAATCCCATTTAAATTCATTATCATACAGCCCCTTAGATTTGCAAACTATGCAAGAAAACATAACTCAAACAAAACATTGTTGTGTATTACCGAAACTGTTCGTCATAAGCATTGGATGATGAGATCGCCTTCTGAAAGATCTGTCATAATAAGATAGAAAAAGCAACATCAAAATTATAAAATGGGATAACGAAGGCATGCACATGTCCGTGTAAATGCAAGCATACATGTAACGAGTTCAAAATTTAAAATCCAGAAGCTCTAATATCTAAGAAAAGAATAAATACACAACATAAGAAATGTAAAATTACCGTTGGATTGCTGGTGACACCCCTGACCCCATTAGCTATGAGTGGCAGAAGATCTGTAACAGGACGGCAGAGATTATCATACCATGGAGACTGTCCTTGGCTTTCATAAAGGTCATGGAGGGTCGTTCTCTTCGTCGTGGATCCATTTCCATCTTGAGAACACTTTACACTGCTTTGCAAATTCAATTACAAGAACAAATTATCAATCAGAAGAAAAAAATTTCAACTTTCTCAGAGAAATAGTAATGCAACGCCCAGATTAAAAGAGAAAAAAGAAGCAAAGAGTGAGACCAAAATCCTCACACAACACTCGGGTCTAACCAGTGCAATACTTTCTAGTAAAGAATGGAGATATGGATACAACTTTTAGAATAAAAAATAAGTGGTTAAAATGGAGAATCACCTTACTTTTGCAATAAAAGAATATTTTCAGCCCTTGAGCGTAGAAATGAAAATATTAGAGATAAATTGAGAATGCTAAAACGGATAGAAGGAAAAACTTCATAGTGAAAATTGAGAATGGTTAAGTTTGACAGAGTAGAAATGGCACTTATTGAATATAAGACAATTAAAAATAAACTTGATGATTAAAAAGTATAAAACTAAGAGTAGAAAATATGATAATGAGGTGAATACACAAAATAAATGTCAAACAGTTATAAAGCAAAATGGTTAAAGTAAAACTATTTTGGATAGAATTTGAGCAAGAGGATTTGTACACAATAAGTTTTAGACCGCATTGCAATCAACAAGAGCAAATGGACAGTAAGGATTTATTAAGCAGGCCCAACTTAGCATAGAACTATTGATGATGATGATGATGAATTACTTTCTCATTTACACATTATTCCAATCAACAGAAAAAATGAAATTTCCCCAAAAACATTTTTCAACGACAAAGTTATTAATTTAATGAAGGGGAATTTACATACATACCACCCAGTTCCTATTTATTTACATATCTAACCCCTAAATTTTAGAGTTTACATTTAAACCACCCAATCCTTCATATTACATCAAAAAATAGCACTATTTTAGCTTATAGAAGGTGAAATACACCTTTTTATGCATAGGCGAGGTAGCATATATGTAACAATTGAAGTTTACGTGTTAGATATGTAAATACATGATATTTAAGTGGTGTGAATATAAATCATCCTTTAATGAAACCTCAAGCTTCGAGGAATTGCATCAGCTTTAGCCCTTGAATATAAATCATCCTTTAATGAAACCTCAATCATCATTTAGATCCATCATTAGCTTTAGCCATGATATAGCATCAGCATGCTCCAAATTTTAGCATAAGGAAACCAACACAGATATTTGGCATCTTCTACTCATCATATCAAGGGTGACAGTCGACAGATCCATTACTAGAAACCTAAGAAAAACATGAATCTCAGTAATTTGTTCCCTCAAAACGTACCCATAACTAACTTTGCACTCCAAAACTTCCAAATCTAACTGCCATGCATAGCTGCTTCTACCTTTGCGTCACGCGGCAGTCCAATCCAAGGCCAATAATCATCCCAAAAAAAATGCACTTTTCTACAAACCCTAATTATGCGCCATCATCATTGGAATTGTCTAATTTTCCACCTGATGCGCTTAATCATCGCAATATAAAGGCTCGAAAAACAAACAAAAAAAGGTTCTTTTACGGAGCATCGGGCCAGAAACATAGAACATGATATAAAAAAGCAGGAATATAACAGCAAGATAGACGCACGTCAAGGAGAATCCCCCGGCGCGATTTCCGCGTACAGAAAGGCTCAGAGAAGAAGCGCGCCGCTCGATTGGAGACCGCGATCGGAAGCCGATAGAAAGCTTTGGCTCCGACGATCGGGATGTCAGGGAAAAGGACCCGGCTACGCCGGCAAAACTGGAGCAGGCGAGCTTGGACACCGAAGCCATGGTTAACAGAGAAGAAGGAGAATTTCAGGGCTTTGGAAGAAAAAGGGTAAAGAAATTTAGACAGGAGAGGTTGGGCTGTTGGGAGGGTTGGTGAGAGTCTCAGCGCCGGCACCTAACTCAATTCATAAGTAATTACATATCCAACAACAAAATTTTAAATTTTACATTCATGCATCTTACCTATACATATATTTCATTTTTTAATATTAAAATGATAGTATTTTGTTTGTGATGTAAAAGATTTGAGTGATATAATTGTAGTAAATTAAAGTTTAGGAGCAATGAAGCGAGTTTGAAGTTTTCGGGTACCTTAAGAAAAATATGATCTCTCACGTTGAATTTTCTCTCTTTCTGCTTTGAGTCGACGTACTTTTTCTGATGGACCTAGGATGCACGTAATCGATCTCGAATCTAATGAACCTTCTCGGTAGCTTGATTCAGCAAGGTCGAATATTCATCTTTCACCAACCTCGAACCAGTATAAGAGGGAAATACACTTCCTACCATAAAAGTGTTTCTTATGATATCATATCAATGTTAATATAAAAGATATTATTATAAGCAAACTTCAACAACATAATATAATCCTCTTAGCTATCTCTGAAGTTTAAAATGAATGCTCTCAGTAAGTCTTCTAATGTCTGAATGGTGCGCTCTGACGATCCGACTGTCCGAGGATGAGAAGCGATACTGAAGTCCATGTGGCAGTCATTTTTTATGCAACACATGTACAGAATGCCTTCTTAAGCCTTAAGATGCATTTTACGGCCTCTATTGAATTCCAAGGTTAATGTCCTGCTGATATTCAGACCTTGAAGGTTCACACGTAGCTCGAAGTCCCCTCCGACAGATATTTCTGAAGATCCATCCTGTGGGGGTCTAGTGTGCCCACACATGGATTGGGCGTGGCCACGCCCAACCCCGAGCGTGACCATGCTCAAGGCCTCACGTGTCAACGTTGTAAACTCCCAAAAAGCGCTCAGGGCCTCAAATGGCTTGACTACCCCTAAATGAGGTGTAACCACACCACACAAACCGAGAGCTCGACGTAATTACATCGGATCTCTAGCGTGACCACGCCCAAATCCATGGAGGCGCTCAGAGCCCTCAGGCAAAATGACCACGCGCGATGGTGGTGTGACCACACCACCTAAACAGAGAGCACAACGTAATAAATTTGGGTCTCCAGGTCGCCTGTCTTTTCGATTTTTTGTTCTCGACATCTCCGCCAACCCTATCGGAAACCACTTGAAAGTGCTTGTTTAAGGAATGTTTAGAGAGTAATTAGCAGGGGAGAAGCTTGAATGGCCATGTGTCCATCCTTTGGATACTTTGAGCTCTTGGAGGAGGGGAAAGGCATGCAAAGCCTATGGAAAGGGGAGGAGCAACCAAGGCAAGGGATTCATCCCCATTCTCTTCCATTCTGGCTAAGGCATTTGTTGTGTGTGTGTGTGCTTCTTCTTCCCCAGGTGTGTGAGAGCTATAGAGAGCTTCCCTTAGAGATCTTGGAGATGTCCCTTGGAAAAACTCTTGGAGAAAGAAGACTCGGAGAGGGATCCTTCATCCTCCTCAAGGAAAATCTCAAGAAGTTGGCCCTCTTCCAACTTCTCCTTCTTCTTTATTTCTCTTCCTCTCCAACAACTTTCTGTAGGTCAAGTCTAGGAAAACTTCATCCTAGCTTGTGAAGAGAAACCTTGTCTGAGCTTCACCGAGACTTCACCAAAAGTTCGGAAACTCTGCTAGAATCTCGCAAGACTCCTTTTTGGAGGAGAGCTTCTTCATTCTTTAGAGACGGAGTGGAGCCGACCTCCCTGAAACTTCAACATCTCCCCTATGATGAGGAGAGCTTCTTCCGAAACGAAGTTCGGACTTCAATAAACCACCGCGGTGGCGAGGCTCCTTAAGCTTTTACAATTTCCATTATTAGGGCCTCTAAGCCTGGATGTTAGAGGAGCTAGGTTAGGTTTGTTTGTGTATGGAGGAAACCCTTTATGATTAGGAGCCTTTGAGGACCCCTTACGAATCCTTGAGCAAAACCTACCCATTTTTCCTTTTTAGACCACAAATCTGAAAGACGGGATTGCACTAATCCCGTCATTTGTATTGGTGGTTTCATTGGAGTGGACATCTGAAACTAATTAACTGAGAAAAATGAAGACATTCCTTTGGTCTTTGACCCCTCAGTCGTGTGGAATTCTCCTTGCCAGAGTTTATCCACCCCATGCCGTGCAAATGGAGGTGGTTGTCATTGTTGCTTTGTGTAATATGGCGTTGGTACACCTCTCCATCCATTGCTTGCCCTAAGCAACCCATGAGATCATTAGGATGATCTTGTCTTCATCATCGAGCATGATCGGTTCTCCATTATATGTGTGTCTCCATACTCACATTGAGTGCCCTGCATGAATTTTAATATTACATCAAAAATGTCATTATTGTCATCGATTTGATCAATTGGTCTCCACCGACCCGATCAATTTTATCCGCCAATTTTGGTCGGCTTATCCAATCGAACGCCACTAGTATGATCGATCTGACTGACAATTACGTTGGCTCGATCAACTACATCTGTCAATTTGAACGATCGGCCTCCACTGGCCTCATCACCTCGATCGACTCTTTTATTCAGCTCATCCGATTGGTCGTCATTGGTCTGATCGGTTCGAATGACTCTTCTTTTTCAATCAGTCACTTACGTTGGACCAACTCACCGCATCTGTAGATTTGAATGATTGGCATCCACCAGCCCGATCAACTCGATTGACTCTTCTAGTCAGCTCATATGATCGACTGTTGTTAGTCTGATTGATCTGACTGACCCTTTTTCGTTGATCGACCGCCTACGCCGACCTGATCGACTGTCTTTGTCAGCTTGATCAATCGACGGTCATCAGCTTGATCGGATCAACCAAATCCACTTGTATGTTGCATCATTGCATGTTTGTCTCGTGTGCTTACGTGATCACATCTCACACCATACACCTTGTCGTGCATCTATAAGCATATGCCCTTATATGCTCATGAAGGATGTATATGTTCCACTTTGGCATTACCTTTTGTGCCTGTCTAGTGAAATCTATGTGTCATGATGCGTCAACCACTTTATGTGTTTGCACTTGCACACTAGCATCCTTGCATGATTGATTTCATGATGCATTTGCATGCCATACATTTGGGTTTGAGTTCTCACACACCATCCCTCACATTCACACACCATATGAACAGATCGCTCGACACCGAGTTGACCCATCATGTAATTTCCTTCAATAGGAATTGCATAGTTTCACTTTCTACAACGCATCTCTTGATTGTTGTAGGCACTACTTTGGGTCACTGTCTCCACAATACACCCACCCTCCGGGTCCAGGCTCCACGGTACGACACACTCACCCTCCGGGTCACTATCTTCATGCACACCCACTCTCCGAGTCACTGTCTAGATGACACACTCACCCTCGGTTCACTGTCTCAATGACACACCTACCCTTCGAGTCACTGTCTTTATGACACATCCACCCTCTGAGTCACTGCTGCCACGATACACCCACCCCTTTGGGTAATTGTCTCCACAAAAAATCCACCATCTCGGTCATTGTCTCCATGACACACTCATCCCTTAGGTCTCTATTTCCACAACACACCCATTCATCAAGTCATTGCCTCCACGACACACCTCCATCCGCCAAGTCACTGTCTCGACGACACACCCACCTTACGGGTCACTTTCTCCGCGACCAACTCACCCTCTAGGTCATTGCTTCTGCGACACACCCATTCTCTAAGTCATTATCATCACGGCAGACTCATCTTTACCTATGTTCTATGTTTTGCATGCATCATTCAAAACTTGTTGGTGCATCCGCCTTTAGTGTACACACTATGTACTAGTGGTGAATGTTTGTCATCTTTCGATCACTTTGCATTTGCATGTGTGTTTTTCCGATCGTCTCTACGATTAAACTGGCTCATTAACTGAGTGATTCCCCATTAGTCATGACGCATCAGCTAGTATTGCTCACAAGGATGTTTTGGTGGGCAATACTAGTTATCACACCATGATTAGCGCGTGCATGTTGTTCTGAGATTCAAAGGGGTCTAATAGGTGTCATTTAGGCATTTCTTTCCTGAGAACTATTTTAAAAGTTAAAAAAAAATTATATTTTTATTACACATGCATCATACTTTCAAAATCTTTTTTGAAGCTACTTGCATACTTAGCTTAGACTGAAAGTGAGGTCAATTTTTCGAAAAGCTTTTCAAAACCTGCATCTCCTAGAATCCTTGGATCCTTAAGACAGGACCGGTGACGGTGACCCCATCAAAACATACGTTAGCTTAGTGGCATAACCACGAACTCACTTAAATATTGGTTATTACACAATGTTCTTTGGTGTGCTAAGCTAAGGATTAGGATGATAGGTTGTCTTTTTTTGATGTCGTGACTATAGTTTTTATTGGTTTGATTCTCCTAGCCAGACATCATCTTTTGTGCTTTTGGCGTGCTTGCTCGTTTACTGTTTTTATATGCATAGTGATATATTAGGTGGGTCTTTTTATTGGGAGTCATGCCTCAAATACACACCTCACGTGTAACAGAGAGGAGCAATGTAATGATTATGACTAGTTTTTTTTCTACAGGCGCTGCTTAGCTGCACCCTTCAGGCATGACTCATATGTGTTGTATGTTTGTTGGTTTTCCCACAAATGTTGTTTTCATGCTAGTCAAATCATTCTCTTTTTTTATGTACTTTTATAATCCTTAAAAGAGTCTTGTATTAGAAATAAGGTACTAACACAAGTTTTGAGGCGCTAGGCAGGCTGAACCAAACATGATGGAAATCAGAAGTTATTTGTTCATGTTTCATACATTAATTCTAGATCATATTGATATATAAAATTAGGACCAAGTGTGTACTTATGCGGTGTCTGTCCATCTTTTTCTATTTTTGAGATATGTCACCGACCCAGAGGCACCGACCTCTTATTATTTTATATTTGTCATGTTAAATTGTCTTTCTTACATGCTTGCAGGTTTGGATTAGCTTCACTTATATTAGATTGTGCTTTTTTCTATGAATCCAACGGATCATTTAGGCTTTCTAGGACC